CCAGGACACGAACAGATACATGCACACCCATGTTCATCACAGCACTGTTCATAGTAGCAGAAAGATGGAAACAACCTACATGTCCATCAGTGGAAGAGTGGCATTGTTCAGCTTTAACATGCATATGAGGTGATTGAAAATACCATGGCTGGGGTCAGACACACATTAGTCTTCAAAGTGACATCTTTGCTCCTTAACACTTTAAAGAGGTCTTTTGCAAGTTATTAAAAGTACCATTTGACCCAGGCATTCCATTACTAGGTATATATCCTAAAGAAGTGAGAGCCATAACAAGAACAGACATATGCACACCCATGTTCACTGCAGCACTATTTACAATAGCCAAAAAATGGAAACAACCTAGGTGTCCATCAACTGAGGAATGGGTAACCAAACTATGGTACATAAACACAATGGAATACTATGCAACCGTAAAGAATAATGTAGAATCTTCAAAATACCACATAATGTGGATGAACTTGGAGGACATTATGCTGAGTGAAATAAGTCAATCATAGAAGGGCAAATATTATATTAGTTCATTATTGTAAAAAGTAAAGGAAAAGTTTATAATAGAAGGAAACTTTCTTTGTTGGTTACCAGAGGTGCAAAAAAATAAGAGATAGATAACAAAAAAATTTGAAAAAGAAAAACCCAATTAAGTGAGACAAAGTCTCCCCATACTCACTCCTAAGGAGCGTGCTATGCTTCTTCCAAGACAGATTTGTTCACAATATTAAAATATTTACTACATGACCTTTCACAAAGGAGCAATGGTTAAGCACTCAGCTGCTAACCAAAGTTTGGTGCTTCTAACCCACTCCACGGGAAAAAGATGCGGCAGTCTACTCTCACTAAAGATTCCAGCCTTGGAAACCCTGTGTGGTGGTTCTACTCTGACCTGTAGAGTCACTATGAGTCAGAATCAACTTGACATCAACGTGTTTGATTTCGGGGACTTTTCACAGAAAGCATTTGCAAACCCCTGATCGAGAGCTACACTTGGAGCAGAGATTTGCTAACCTCCTTTGAATCTCTTCACATGCTGTCTTCTCTCCTTTATACCAAGAAGATATGGAAAGAGTTCTAGTACCGAGTGACTTACAACAGACTAACTCACCCACATCTAGCAATTATATATAAACTGGATAAAAACTAAAACACTGTTTGAAAGCACTGCAGAACAAGCAGATGGCACCAAGGAAGGGAACTGCATTGAGTGAGATCCACATTTATCCAGCTTTTCGTCAATGCGTATTTCCTAGTCTGTGGGGCTGAGGTCACTGGAACTCAAGAACAAAGCCTCTCTTTTAAGCTGAAGGCATTAGAAGATAGAGTTTGGGGCTTCTAGAATATCTGGAAAAAAAGAAGGCAAATCCAAGAAGGGAGGGAGCCAGCAAGGAGGAAAGCGCCCCCAAATCTACCATTCCCCTTACGTCTTTGGCTGCTGACTCCTGAACTGCACATGCACAGGGGAGATGTTAAGGAACCCAGCAGGTAACAACCCCCGGCCAGAGATTTCAGGGCTGCTCACCGCAGAAGGGGTAGAATTTGGAACTTGGATCCTGCAGTGTGAGGAGGGATTGGATAAACACCTTGGGCATTCCATTAAAACCTCAAAATGGCTTAAGAGTAGAGGCCATGTCTTGGAGTGAGGGCAAACCCCAATAGACCCAACATATGTGTAAAGCCAGTCTTTAGGGTGATTAGCTAGTGTGTGCACACTGTTTGTTCAGAGAAGATAAGAGAAACTAAAGTCTACAGCATATCCTCCGCACTTGCTGGTCTAACATCAAAATTACTGCACTTACTAAGAAACAAGAAAATATAACCCAGTGACTACAAATAAATCCCAAGATGACCCAGATATTGGAATTAGCAGACTCCAAAAAATTTAAGGCTAAAAATTTTAACTATGTTCAAAGATTTAAAGGAAAAGAAGTATTAACAAATGAGCAGATGGAGAATCGTGCCGAGAAACAAAAAATCGAGTGGAAATGCTCAAACTAAAAACTACAATATGTAAAATGAAAACTTCACTGGATAGCAACAGAACAAATTAACTGCTCAGAAGAACATGGGGAAAAGATGGAACAGCCTCAGTACCACAGGGACAAATTCAGAGTCTCACATGTATAATTGGGGACTGGAAGTAGCGAAGAGAAAGACAGGGACTACAAAGAAGATACCCCAAGAAACAACCGCTGACATTTCATCCAAATTTGGTGAGATGTTGACTCACAAATCCAAACAACAACTTCATCTAGGTTCATCTTAGTCAGACTTGCAAAAACCAAAGATAAGGAGAAAAGACCAGAAAGTAGTCAGAGATACAAGATGCTGTATGCAGGGACGCAACATGGCAGCCAGAAGATGCAGGAGCCACACCTTTAATGTGCTCAGAGCAAAAGACTGTCAGTTAATCCATCAGAATCTTCCTTCAAATGTGAAGTCGAATAATGATCTTTTTAGAAAACCCAGACCTGAGAGAACTGAGCGGCAGCAGCCCTGCATCCAGGGCCTGCCAAAGGAAGGTTCTCAGGCAGAAAGGGAATGGCACCAGATGAAGGATAATAACCCCTGGAAATAGTAAATATGAACAACTGGGTGTTTTTCTTCTTTAAAAGACAGTTTACAAATACAAAGATTCTAATAGTGGATTATAGAGTTTCTAGTATTGTTGTTGTTGTCGTGTGCCTCTGAGTCGGACCTGACTCATAGCGACTCCTCCTTGGGTTTCTGAGGCAATTTGTAGTGTAGGTAGGTTGAAAATACATGACAACAGTAGTACCAAGGAGAGAATTCGATTCTTGCGAGGTTCTTACATTTTATATGGAGTGGTGCGACATAACGGCTAAGGAAATGAGGGACATGCATATTGCAGGTCCAAGGGCCCCGCCTAAAAAGTAATACACAAAGGTGTCGCTGCAACACCAGTAGAGGAGAATGAATAGTCAGCAGTACTCTGTTAAGACAGAAGACGGAGGGGAGGAAAGAGCAGAGGAGTACAGAACAACCCGGGACAGGCAGCAAGATGCACTCAGACACACCCACACCAGGAACTGCGTTAGAGGTAAATGAAGTGAGCATCTTACTTGAAAAACAAGGAGTGTCAGGTGGGATCCAACAGCTGGTTATAAGAGGATCACCTTAAATACAAAAGCAGAGAGGGTGAGAATAACAAGGGAAAAAGGAAAATCGTAAGCAAGTCATCAGCATAGGGAAGCTGTTGGAGTAATTAGTCAACTAGACTTGAAGACAAGGCCCGTTGCCAGAGACGAGAAGCGCTTAAGGACACAAGGCCTGCGGACAGACAGTCTTCAGTGCCCTTTAATATCCATGTATTGTCCTGGTGCTGCATGGCATGTGGTGGAAGTGGTGTACATCCTGGTGGCAATTATCTGGATATGTGTGTACATTTGTTGTCTTACCAAATTGTACACTGAAGACCTCTGCGTTTCTCTCTGTAAGTTTCACCTTATAAATTAAAATAGAAAAACAAGCCAAGCCCTTATAAAGGGCACTGCCGGTGTAAGTGTATCAAAACCGACAGCTAATACCATGACCTTTGTGCCGTTTGTATTTGCCTGTCTCATTTTCTCCTGCTCCATGGCAGCGAGCAAGGCCACACTGGATGTTTTTTTCTCCTGGTGGTATAATTTCCTCGTCTGTAGTGCTCTGTCTGGTCTATGATCTTTATTTCTGTTTTCTTCTCTCTAAAACCTAGCATAGCATGTTATTGGAAGTTGGCAGGCTCTCACCCAAGAAGCAGGGCTAATAAGATGTCAGAGTCATGTTTGGTTTGACATAGCTCCATGCTCCCACAGTTTCTCAAGCGTTTATTTACCACACGTGTACCTCAGTGTGCCTGGTACGGAGCTAGAACACATGGTAAGCTAAATGCACATGCCGTCCTCCCCCCCGGGGCTTATACCCATCTCGTTGTCTGTCATTGACGCTTACACGAACAGGAAGGTCCAGAAGCCAGATGGTGAAGGTCACTGGACAAGAAGCACACTGATCGTCCTATGGCCTTAATGCTCCCCTGCGTGACACTACCCACCTGGGTTTGGGGTAAGCCACGGGAACTGAGATTCGGACGGAAGCACAGGAAGTTGTGGATACGTACAGGTAGCCTTCCGAGCAGGTGTGGAAGGTGGCGATCAGCACAGGGAGAATCCTCCCCTCAGAGCAATGGCTTCACGTTCACTGAGTGAGCAACTCACACCCTGATGGGTGCCCGAGAAGTGAGGCCGAGCGGACAGAGCTCCCATTCCCATCGTCCACCCTTGTGCACAGAGACCACCTACTGACTCACCTCGCAGTTGGCAGTGTTCTCTCTCCCCCCTCCTTCTCATCCCCCGCTTTTCTGTGTGGTGTGAGGGTTCTGGTGACTGATCGAGAAGGTACCACATGAACAAAGCTAGGTTGACATACTTGACCCAAGCTTTGTACCCAGTACGTTGGAGATTGCCACGCTCAACCAGATACCAAAGCAGCAAGTTGCAGACTCATCCAAGCAGTGTGTGTAAATGTGTGTTTGTTTCGGAAGTACAGTCAACATTCAGATTACGAGGTTATCTTTACGACACCCCAGTGCAGCCACTTCACTGGAGAACTATTTGCAGCCTTACTGTTGTCTCAGTGATAGTTGGGGGAGCCAACATTTAAAGGACTATTGAACAAATGAATTTGGGAATTATAACACTGTTCAATTAAAAAGCCTTTTTAGCTGAAATAGTTGTTGATAGCACCATTTTTAATTCCTATAAAACTACATTCTAAACTGTCTTCTGAGAGACATTTCAGTGGTCCATGGAAAGTTTTGCCTTTGGTAATTACTGGTTCATTTGCTTTAAAGCATCGTGTCATCTTCTCTGGGTTAAGGGAAAGATTACCTTCTTGTTCCGGGACAATGGGCCCCAAAGCTAGTAAGAAGCACATGTCACCAGGTTTCCTCATTTTGTTGTTTATTTCCTCCCCTCCCCCTCCCCCCGCAGTTTCGGGCCTTGGCACCAATGTATTACCGAGGGTCTGCAGCAGCTATAATCGTCTATGACATCACAAAAGAAGTAAGACCCTGTTTGTCCCCAAGTTTTCTTTAGACTGTTTTGAAAACATCTGGCTGGTTGTATCTGCAGTGGCTTTCCCTTTCGTTACAGGAAACATTTTCAACATTAAAGAACTGGGTGAAGGAGCTTCGGCAGCACGGCCCACCTAATATTGTCGTGGCCATTGCAGGAAACAAGTGTGATCTTATCGACGTCAGGTGAGTTATTAGAGCAGGACGCAGCAGTGCCGATCAGGGTCCTCCCCTCCCTGGGAAATACCCAGTGTATGCATCTGGCTTTTAGTTTATCCTGACTTTAAAAAAGTTCCTTTTTGTTGTGCAGTTCGAGTCCTAAAGTTCGAACTAAAATGAAGATCTCAGGCATTTGAGGCTAATTACGTGGCGTCCACAGGGGCATGTGATTTGTTCAGACCCTAGTCTCTGAATATGTGATACTAGCCAACATGGTGTCACGGCAGGCTCCCCAACCTCAGCGCCTTAGCGAGGCACAGGGCGTTTCTCAGCAGTTTCCCTGGATCACCTGCCTGGTTCCCAAAGCAAGGGCTTTGCTTTGGGAGAAAAAAGAACTCCTCCATTTCCTGCTCTGTTGGCTCCCTTGCTGGTTGGGCCAAGTTTTGTTTGCTCTAACTGTAGAAGTGGTGTGGCCAGGGGGATGCCCTTTGCCATCTATCATGAGTCTGTTCATGAGTTACTAGGTAGGTGGGGCTACCCTTACGACCTTGGCAGGTGGGGTTTCTGATTTGCACTTGTTGCCTTTCAGAGAAGTCATGGAGAGAGATGCAAAGGACTACGCCGACTCCATCCATGCAGTGTTTGTAGAGACCAGCGCAAAGAACGCCATCAACATTAATGAACTCTTTATAGAGATTAGTGAGTATCACTGTGCTGCATGGGTTTCCTCTGTGCAGAGCACGTGTCATCCTGGTTAGAGTGCCCGCCTTTCTTTGAGGAGGCTGCTCTGACGCTGTTGGCAGTGGGATGAGAAGTGACAACAAAGGAGTGGCAGCTGCTTGCCTGTTGAGCGATAAGTGCTGGCAGGCTGCTGGCTGACAGCGTCGCCCTTCCGTGAAGACTGTGGCTACTGAATAAATAACGCACGAGGCCCTGAGGTCACGGAAGCTGCCAGCTCTCCCCCTTTCTCCTTTTAAATGTGTCCAGGGTCTTTGAAAATGAGCACAGTAAATACAGAGAAATGGCACGCAGGTATAATTCCACTGTAAGAAAAGCCTCCAGTATTAGCTTGAGGCTGGTTGAAAGGTGAGCCTTTTCCCTCATCGCCCTTCCCTCTCCCAGCGGCGTGTTCACAGGTGGTGCTGGTGGGAGAGAAACTGCCACGTACTGTGGGAGGCCTCTCCAGGTTGTGTCCATCTTTACTCATTTTACTCAGATTCATCACAGTCTTTATGGAGACAGATTCCAGGCCCAGGAGAGAGCGCCATGAACCAGAGAGACGTGGCCCACCTCTCCTGGAGCGTGCACTGCATGAGCAGACGGACAGTGAGCTCAGCAGCAGAGAAGATGGCTTCATAGTGACCAGGCCTGTGAATAAAGCCACTGGGGACCAGGGGAGGCCTCTCAGCAGAGCTGAGAATGGGCTACAACAGGACCTGCAAGGGATTGGGCTTTAAGTTATCCAAACTTCAGGTCTCCACTTGTGGGTGGGTATTGTCAGAGGAGTAGGTGGCCATGCTCATGGTGATACACATTGGGGTTGAGAGCAGAGATTACTGCAGCCCAAGGGCTGTTGGCTGCCATATAGACAAGTGGACACAACCTCGATGCCCAGCAGAGCCAGGCGGGACCCCCCAAGTGAAGCTGACCTGGGCATGCCCTGGGGCTTGAGGTCTACAGCCAGTCTGGGCCCCTCTCAAATGTGCACTTCTGCTAGTGGATGATGATTTGATTTTCATGTTTTTAGTTAGTTTGTTCAGAGAAACCAGAAATCGAAATGTGTGTCTGATGTGCCCCCATTGTTTAGATGTGGCCACTAAGTCAAATATTCTCAGAGGCTTGTGTTTGGCCAGTGGACTGCAACCTCTGGTTGCAAACGGGAAGCCAGGGATCAGTGGTCGGAAACAGGAAAGGGGAGAGAAAGAGGCCCCAGGCAGGAAGCAGGAAGCCAGGGATCAACAGCCAGATACGGGCAAGGGGAGAGATGGAGCCCCCTGGGCAGGAAGCAGGAAGCCAGGTATCGACGGCCAGATATAGACAAGGGGAGAGATGGAGCCCTCAGACAGGAAGTGGGAAGCCAGGGCCAACTGCCAATTACAGGTAAGAGGGAAGGCCAGGAAGTGAGCAGAGGAGTTTGGCACAGCAAAGGGAGACACACTTGTCTGTCATTTTGTCATACTGTGGTGGCTTGAGTGTTGCTTTGAGGTTGGAGGCTGCCCCACCAGTGTTTCAAACACCAGCAGGGTTGCCCATGCTGGACAGATTTCAGCAGAGCTTGCAGACTGATACAGACTCAGAAAAAGGAAGAGGCCATCCACTCCTCAAAGAATCAGCCAGGGAAAACATTATGAATAGCAGTGAAATACTGTCTGACGTATTACTGGACAACTTTATGAATAGCCCTGAAACATTGTCTGATACAGTGCCAGAAGATGAGCCCCTTGGGTCAGAAGGCACTCAGACTTCAACTGGGAAAGAGCTGCCTCCTCATAGTAGAACCAACCTTAATGATATGGATAAAGTAGAGCTTTCAAGACCTCCAGTTGCTGACGTGGCAGGACTCATGAGAATGAGAAGAAACAG